GCTTATAAGGCCTCAAATCCCTTATACAGTATAAGGAAGTAATAACAAACATATCACTCATACAATCCAGGTCATCATCTATGAATGCCACATTTGCATAAGGGATTAATAACGGATTCATCTCTTATGTGTAAAATCGTACTTGGCTTATCTAACAAGGCTTTAATAAGGGATCCTATTATCTTATTTCGCTACTGTATACCATTATTATTATTATTATTATTATTATTATTATTATTATTATTATTATTATTATTATTATTACTATCCATAATCAGTAATAAATTTAATCAATGCACACATTTAAATCATACGGCTTCACAAAGAAATTACTATTTATAATGTCACAATACTTATAAATAAGAGCAGTACTAAACGAATGTCATAAAATCCTTTAAAGCAAAATTATATTTAAATGTAGTGACTACATTTAAATATATTCACAACAAATTAAAGTACATTACAATGTATTTTAACAGTCTACTAGTTAACCATTAATGTTTTAAACTTCAATTTTCTTGCACCTCGTTCACTCTTCACTATCATCATCAGAGCTAGATGATTCATCTCGAAGTTGTCTGACCGGAAAGGAAGGAGTCCCACGTGTTGCTCCAGCTTGATGGAGCGTTGTTATGTGTGGGTTTGATGATGGAGGTTGTGGATGGCCAGTGGCAGCAAATGGAGAAGGTTGGTCAAATAAATGCGCTTGAGCGTAATTCATCTCCAAAAGTTGCCCAAACGATCCCGGTTGTTGCTGTTGTCCGAAGGGTGGCATTGGGTTTAATTTCTGTTGTGCAAATAGTGATGATGTGCACTGATTAGTTGATGACCCCCCAGGAAGAAATTGATGATTAATCAAGTTTGAATTGGTCACACCCATACTGATAAGAATGGCCCATATATTCCTCATGGCGGTGGTGAAGCTTGTTCGTTGTTCTGTATTTTCCAGCCTCATTGTTTCATTTTGTTCCTTGAGCTCTGACATCCCTACCCTCATCGTCTCAATTTCAGCCTCCATCTTAACAATACGGTCATCCAAGAGTCCATATGTATCCTATGGTATTGGCAAATATATTATCATAAAACTTTAAACTTTTTAATAAGTAGGGTATCATTTAAGAATTACCTCAAGAGGTTTAGAAGGTTGAAATAGTTCGGGGTGTGATAGTTGGGCGGGTACGCCGACCCAACGCCCTTTTTTTGGATCACCCGTAATCTCTTTCCACAATTGAGAATCAAAAGGAGGATACTTTGTTCTATCCAGTCCATACATTTCTTCCATTCGTTGACGATATGTTACCTAAAGTAAAGGAGGTTGCAAACATATATATAATTGCCCAAACTTTCCACAAAAAAAAACGAAACCCTGTACAGTCAACCTATATTTTTTTATCCCAAAGGTACAAAATATAAGAGATTAGTTTGTTTATTTGTTTACGTAGTATTAACATATAAGTTGTTCAATCAAACTGCTTCCCCCAATGACAAATAATTTTCTTTAAATAAAACAAACTTTTTACAATAAAACAATGACATATTTCGTTATACCAATCATACCATATGCACAGCAAATGATGTTGGTACTGGCTCACTTGTGCTAGTGTCAGCTACAACCCATTTTTCAGCAAAATCCAAAAATGTTGGTTTGCGACCAATTTCTATTTCCTGCAATTTAAAAACTTGTTAATTATGTATTACATACAGACAAATAGTTATTAATGTTTATTAGAATGTGAATAATTAATTACAATTTCAGAAAACAAGATTTCCTTGGACTTTCGGCCCTTTGTCTTTGCGGGACGCTCTCCTTCACGAAGGTTACCTACAAGAAAAATCCAATAAGTATCAAGAAGGTAAATAGTTTTAACAACACAAAACACTCTTCATTTTAGATAGTCCGCTATTAATGTACCGGCACGATTACGCTTTCCAACTTTTGACTTCTTTTTCCATTCATCAGTATTCCAATAATCGCATAACTTTATCCATGTCTCCGGAGTAACATGTTGTGGACGGAAAGGAATAAATCTTTTATAATCAGGATCTTGAGCAAAATCATGAATATGATTTTGCAAGATATTGACTCTAATGTTTGACATACGGGCCTGGTAACGAGTAGAAAATTGTGAGTGAAGGTGGGAGCGCATTTTTCCAGAATCCGATGGAGCCCATTTGTACTCATCCTGCAAATAAATGTAGATTGAATAACTATAATACAACTAACTGCAGCACTAAAAAATTATTACAATTACCGAGAAGCGTGAAATGTATTTCTCGCGTTTTGTAGGATCCAAATTCCCATAGTTAGCTGGCCAACCAGTGAACAAATCCGTAGCAATAGTCTCTAACGACTTTTTCACACTTTCATTCACTTTCAATCTATAACATAAGATGAATCAAATTAAGGAAAAAAAATGAAAAGTGTTAGATAAAGCAAAAAACGTGTAAATGCTTTTTTTACACATAATAAAAGGAAATGTTTACACATAAAAACTTACTCCCCAATTGTGATTTGAAGGCGTTGGTCCGGTTCGATAGAGCGAGGTTGAGTTAATGACACTACATCTGGTGTAACGTTGGGCTGTTGCCCATCAGAATTTGACCCAAATGAGGGATTTCCATCAAGCATAAGGTTGTTTGGTAAGCCACTGCCATTCAACCGAACTGTATGCTCCCCTGAAGTTAAACTCCTACCAGAATCCCTATTAACAGTATTATGACGACGACCACTGATATTAGCCCCTCCACGAATGGCACGATTGGTAGCGCGTGACATAGAAGGCATATATGTATCACAGGTGAGTGGTTGTGAAGACATATCTGCTGCCATTAACAAAAAAATTAAACAAGACAACATTAAAGAATAATAATAAGGTGTAAATATCTTCCTACTAGTATGATGGTACCCTGTTGTTCCTTTATATTTATATTTTTATTTGTGCATGTGATTTAGTTTGTGTTTCATAATTTGAAGGAAGAGGTTTTGGATCTATAGAATCATGCAGTCTCCAGAGCATCAAACCAATGTAAAATTAGCCACAATATGGAGACGGAATTTACGTGACCAAACATTCTTCACATATGGCACACAAGATTCACATGTAAAAGAAAAATGTAAAGAGACTTACTTGCACTCAGTTCCACGCCACACATCATTATCATTCTTCAATATCAAGTTTTCAACATAATGATATAATACGGATCAAAACGAGCTTAGTTAACTAAATGATGAAATTTACATTACAACATAATGAATAAAATACCCAGGCCAGGATGCATTCGGAGACACCATAAATTAAACTTCCAGCCGTGAAGGGATAATATATGGCCGTGAAGCAGAATCACCTAGCTGCCATCTAAGTAATAGTAGACTTCAAGTGTCACACCTGGTCTCACAACATCAATTTGGTATTTTTGAGAGATAAGCAGAACCCATCCCTCTATAGATGCCGACAAACATTGTTAAGTGGAATTGACAAATAGAAATTTCAAGCATCGATGGTAAACAATAATCCATCGAAATTTTGAGAGATAAACTGTGAAGACGTTGTTTAGTGGTATGCGTAGCTTTGCTCATAGTACAAATTCATAGCTACATATAAGTAACCCTTTCTTCTAAATCCCTTTAAAACAACATAATGCCGCTATTTGTGGTTGGCAACAAGTTATGTAACTCTTTAGAGTGAAAATATCAATATCTGGTTATCAAGATTAGTTGAATAAAAACGTGATGTAAGTCATAAAGAGAACAAGGAAGAGTCATGTTATTACATGATTAATTTCACAGACCATATAAGAACAAGCCAGAAACCCTAAATCTAGAAATAAATTTGAAAGCTCGTACCTATTCACTTCCCAGATTGGTGAGGCGGCGGTCTGTTTTAGTTGGTATGTGGGAAGCGTTGCCGCTTGTTCCAATTGAAGAAAAACGCAGACAAGGATGTTTCGTATCAGTAGGCTCGTGAAGAAATAGATGGTAGGTGCTGGAAATTTCTGAGGAAGAAACGCCCAAATGAAACTTGCGGCCAGTACATAGGTATTCTGATTTTAGATAAGATTTAAATTTTTTTAATTAATTGTCAATAAGGCGCTAAAAATTTCGTCTCCGCGCGAAGAGCCCAAAAATAAGGCGCCAATTGTCAAACGGGGGCCAAACACCTAAAAAAAATTGGTGATAGATTTGGAGTATACAAAGAGCCCGTTTGGAGACTTATTTTTTCGGTTTATCAGGCTTATCAGTCAAATTTTTCATCAAACACGTAACTTTTACTTTCGTGCGTTGAATTGTGTAATAAGCAGAAAAAGTAAGGTTGTAATTACTTTTCTGACTGTATTGGCTGAATTTACTGTAGATGACCATTTTAGCTATTTTTACATATAATATTTTATTTATTTGATTAATAAAATATATTTTTAAAATATTTTTTTCTTGAATCAGTAGAATCAGCCAAAACAACTACTTCAGCCAAAACTTCATAAATTTTAGCAAAATCAGCCAAAACAGCCGATTTTCGTAGTACCAAACGGGCTCTAAGTATTTTTAAACCAATATACTACTACCTTCGTCCCTTAATGATTTGCAAATTTGACTTTTCTTGGTCATACAGTTTCATTTTATTTGCTTAATTAGGATGCCAAACTTTAATTGTATTCAAAGTTGGAGTTTACAACTTGAAAGAGATTTTATTGTAGTTTCTGAATATATAACTTTTAATTATTAAAAATTAGATGAATTATCGATATGGAGCATTGATAACTAAGTAACTAAGGATGTTTTTACTTGGACCGTAAAAAGCTGGTCTGGCCTGGCCTGGTTTGGTCTGAACTGGTTTGGTCTGGTCAAGTACAAATTACAGTCCAAGTAAAAACATCTCAAGTATAAAATAACTAAGTAAACATACATATATATATATATAAAGTTTATAAAGACATATATATGGTCTGGTCACATACATACTAATAAGAAGTTTATAAAAATTTAATTATTATATATTACGGTTCTTTAACAATTATAGAGACATATTATTTTAAAAAATCGAGAACGAAACTGTTAATGTTTAAAAACGATTCAAACTTAAATATGCAACAATTAAACAAATAGACACACATATTAAGTGATGTTTCGTTTTTATTAGTGCTATAAATACGATAGATCACACGTAGTAAAGTGGCATATGGAGTCATATATAATTTGGTATGTCTTCCTCCACATCATCCAGAATTTCATCATCATCACCCTCAATAACAATTTGTGGAGCAGTTCCAAAGTTCACCAGAAGGTCAGTACCATCAAATTCAGGATCATCTTGAATCTGTGCATCTTCCACAACAAAGTCATCTTGATCAGCTTCTACATCAAACAAACTCGTCTGGTCATTAGATGTACCCGTGTCCACCTCGATCAAATGCCTTGGTTTATTTTTAATTACTGCGAGCCAATCCCTTAAACCCTCAGTTGGATATGAGACATAGTAGACTTGTTGCGCTTGACTAGCTAAAATGAATGGATCCTCAGGATGTAATCGTGATGTGTGACGAACGTCAACAACTCCTGATGGTTCATGAATTCGTACACCACTAGTCGGATCAAACCACGTCCCTTTGAAAATGGTGACTTTGTTTTTTTTGTAAAACAATTCCCAAATTTCATCAACCATTCCATAAAAATCATAATGATCGGCCTCGGATGTTTGTCCAAGTACACACACTCCCCAATTTGAAGTACGTTTAGTCCCACCGTACGTTCTAGTATGGAATTTATAGCCATTAACATATGATCCCCCGTATGATTTGGCCTTCTTCTTGGGCCACTGAGAGAGCTCAATAAGCTGTGAGGTGAAATTATGAGGAGATTCCTTCGCCTACACATCAGTTTATAAAAATAAAAAATAAAAAATAAAAGTAGTCCCTTGGATGTCAGTTACTACAACACTTTAAGAAAGCTTACCATTAACTCAAACCACGTAGCAAAATGTGTCATTCTGTGTTTAGCAACATCAGAATCATTCAGCCTTGGGGACGACTGTCGTGTAAGATTCTCAAAATGACTGTAAAGAATAACATTATAATAATTAATTTTAGCTTAAACAATATAGACATACGCTTAAATTACACACTTACGTGATATATGGCTGCACTTCTGGAGTATTGAACAAAACATAGCTATGAACATGATGAAGTTCTTCATCTGACAACACATGGTTGGTCAGACGACTAAAATTCCTGACCGGGTGCTTGAAAACAGACAACATTTCAAAATCATTTGAAGCTTCCCCTATGACTAACATATTAGCCCCAACTTCATTTCTGACGTGAGGGTTAATACGAGTGCCTGAGTTGTTATCAAAGTAATGCTCGCAGAATAAGGCCACCTCTTGAACCCAAAATTTTTCAACAATGGATCCCTCGAGAAATTGTTTATTTTTTGCTTTTTCCTTTAACTTTTTCATCAGACGCTCAAAAGGATACATCCAACGATAGTGCACGGGTCCACAAATCTTCAACTCCCATGGTAGATGTACTGTCAAATGCTCCATTGAGTCAAAGAAACTAGGAGGAAAAACCTTTTCTAGTTTACATAGTGTGACTGCAATTGCATCTTGCAGTTTCTCAATGTCTGCAATACACAGTTTCTTTGCACAGATTATCCTGAAAAATTTGCAAAACTCAGATATTGCTGTCCATAGAGGTGGTTGAAGATAACCACGCAATGCGATCGGAAGTAAACGTTGCATAAACACATGACAATCATGACTCTTCATGCTATAAAATGTGTTGTTAGTTGTATTAACACAATGTCCAATGTTTGATGAATATCCATCAGGAAGTTTCACCTCTTCCCTCAACCAATTACATATGTTGATAACACCTGCCTTATCTAACACATAACTTGCTTTTGGTTGATACATGATCATATTGCGTTGATACAAGTGCAACTCCTTCCGGATACTCAGAAGTTCCATATCACGTCTCGAATTAGAATTATCCTTTGTTCTCCCCTTGACATCCATAACTGTGTTGAAGACATTATCAAAGCAGTTCTTCTCTATATGCATGACATCAGGATTATGTCGAACAAGTAAATCCTTCCAATAAGGCAGATCCCAAAAAATAGATTTTTTAATCCAATTGTGAGTTTTACCGAATCCATCTGCACGCAAGTTATCATATTGTGACCCAAATGGTGGAAAACTAATACTCTCAATGTTTCTCAATATTTCAGCACCTGAAACAATCGGACAAGGTCTACGACGTTCAGCACCAAATACCCCCCATGACTGTGAATCACGACGAAAACCATGTTGTGCTCTTAGAAACCTCCTGTGACAACCCCACCAACACGGCTTCTTTCCGAACTTAAGTTGTTGGGCAACTCCTTCACCCAAACAGTATGGACATGCTAATCTACCATGGGTACTCCATCCTGATAACATTCCATATGCTGGAAAATCACTTATTGTCCATATAAGGCATGCTCTCATAACGAAATTTTGTTTTCGAAATGCATCCCACGTTTCAACCCCAACATTCCATAGCATATTTAGCTCATCGATAAGTGGCCTTAAGAAAACGTCAATGTTCCTTCCAGGGGACCGAGGACCAGGTATTAGCATGGCCATGAAAATATATGGCTCTTTCATGCAAAGTTCAGGAGGTAAATTGTACACGGCAATGAACACAGGCCAAATAGAGTACGGGTTGCTGAAATCAGAGTTTGGATTGAATCCATCTGTGCATAGACCTAAACGCACATTTCTGGACTCAATAGCAAAATCCGGAAATGTTTGATCAACATGTTTCCATGCCTCTGATTGACAAGGATGTGAAATAGTACTACCATCGCCAGAACCACCTCGCATATGCCAAGTCATAAACTCTGATGTTTTAGAGGACATATACATGCGCTTCAACCGCTCTGTTATGGGTAGATAACGCAAAACTTTTTTTGAAATTGGTTTCATTTTACCTCCTCGATCTATAGAACCCTCTTGGTATCTACACACACCACAAACTTTGCAGTACATCAGATCTTTATCATTGCCATCAAATAGCATGCAATTATTTTCACAGGCATCTATTTTGAAATATGGTAGCCCCAATCCATGGATCATCTTTTTAGACTGATAAAAGCTTTTTGGCAAATGGTTATCACCAGGCACAATCCGTTCAACAATTGAAGCTACTTTATCATAGCATGCATCAGACATGTTATACTGACTCTTAACACTTAAAAGTTCAGCCACCACAGATAGTCGAGTATGACTAGTGCAACCATCATATAATGGAGCAGATGCATCTTCCAACAGCTTGTAAAACTCCTCTGCATTCTTATTTGGGTTTTGAATCTCGTTAGTCTCAAAACGAGTTTCTTCATCGTCATCCAACCCAAATGTATTAAAATCATTTTCATCATTTGCAGAACCAATATATAATGGATGCATAACCTCCCTAACCATTTGTGTACATCCTAAAACGTGATTTTGCTCATCATAATTATCAATGGTTGTTGTGCTTTCAAAGGAGTCCACATTAATTGGCGTATACCCTCGATAAATAATGGGATTGATAGGACGTTCTTCCCCATGGCAATCCCATATATAATACTGTTCTCTAAACCCATTCTTGCACAAATGTGTTTTAATTATACCTCTATCGAAGTACTTTCTTAGTTTGCACTTTGTACATGGACATTTCACCATACTTTCTCCATTCCGTTGAGCTATTGTAAAAGCGTAGTCCAAAAAATGATTTACACCTTCTACAAACTCTAAATTTATATTACCTGAAGTCCGACTAATACGATTATACATCCATTCACGACCTTCCGCCATTTTACAATTTACCTGGAAAAAATATAATTTTCCTTAATAATATATAAAACTTCAAAATATGCCAAAGTTAAATGACTAACAATACATTGATATAATCAAATCAATTCAATACATCATACGAAATTCATAGACTGATAAATTTGAATTGTAAAAATTCATCAAAAGTGCGATGAAAAAATTACCTAATGACTAAACATTTCACATTTAATTTTAACACACATCAAAATAACATTAATTACATTTGGATCCATAAGCTTCTTAATTACTATATACGTATAGCATATATAATAAATTTACATTCTAAATGTTACGGAGTATTTAAAAAGCTACTTCATTGAGATAGAATAGATTTTGTACCTGATTCAAGCATGGTTTCTTACGGAGACTCCAGAGAACAAATTAGACCATTTCTAAGGTGAGTGATGGAATGCTTCGGCAAATGAAAATAGTAAACAGAGTATAAATACAGAGCATTCCATCGATGATGCTTGCATTTATTTAATTTTTAATGTCTGAATTTTTTAGGTGGCCAAGTAGGCGAGTAGTTGGTTAGCTGGTCGGTTGGTTGGGCCAACGCCTTTAATTTTCCCTTATTTTCTCCTTATTCACTTTACCACGTAATGCTTTGACCCAATAAGGCTTATTTCCCTTATAGCATCCTTATGGATTGTTGTTCTTTCATTTTGGCTATAGGGAATTAATAAGGGACTTGAAGTATAACCAACAATCCCTTATAGGTGCCCTTATATTTTTCACTTCGCTCACGTAGTGTCTAGTAATAATTACATTATCTATAGTATCAAGACAATGTAGTACGGAGTAAATACATTAAATTGGTCTTACTTTCACGATTATATTGTCGCAGACCAAACCAGATTTAAACAGATCAAATCAAACCAGACCAGACTTAGGATGTTTTCTTTTGGACTGAAATTTGCTGGTCTGGTCTGGTCTGATAAACGTCAGGTCTCTGTTTATTTTATAACTACGGAAGTCAAGTTTGGTCTGGTCTGGTCTGATCTGGTATGGTATGGTCTGGTCTGGTCTGGTCTGGTCTGGTCTGGTCTAGTCTGGGACTGAAAACAGTCCAAAAGAAAACATCCTTAAACAGACTAGACCTAACCAGACCGGATCGGACCAGACTTCCGTAGTTATAAAATACAGAGAGACCATACATGTACCAGGTCAGACAAGAGCAGACCAGTTCAAATTAGATCAAATTTAAACTGATACTTTTTCTTATTTTTTCTTATTATTAAGCTTGTTTACACTGATACATTTTTCTTATTTTTTGTCGTTTTAAATATTCATTTATATGTGTCTTAACTCTTTAATTAACATTCCAACTTTATAAAGTTACCTATCAAATAATTTTTATTTTAAGAAACTTTTAAATTAAATTACATTGGGCATTTAGTCCATCGCGAAACGCGCGTTTCAAAAACTAGTATAAGACTATATGTGTCCTATGTGTAGAACATTTGTACTCTTGCGGGTAGATGTAGCCAATACAATGTTGGTGAGCCCTTTTGAATCAGCAACTCTTCTTTTACGTATTTTAGTTTCTTTGATCTTGTGATAATTTGTCATAACAATCGAGACCACATAGGAACCAATTTGTGAATGAGAAATTATCATATTCCTTGATTTGATGAGTAAGAGGAGGATTATCACACAGGAACTGAATGAGAGGAGGATTAAGAATAGGGGCGGATCTACCTTCAAAGGAGTGGGGGCACATGCCCCCAACAACATTTTCATAATTGATTAGGAGCATACATTAATAAATACACATTCCTTTGTAAAAAAACAATTTGCCCCCAATAAATTATTTTGCTTGCCCCCAATTAAAGATAGTTCCTACGTAAGAGATACAGAGTAGAACGTACGTATGATTTAGAAAACAAATTCATTACTAGATTCGAATTTAAAAATTCTTAATTAAGTCAAATTAATCTAGTACTTCGTTTTTATCAATCAATTCAGTGTTCCTTAAAAAGTGAAATGCTAGTTAATTACAAAGTTATGCTCAAGTCACAAGATATTTTATACATTGACATTCATAATAATTGGACAATGTGTACCAGCTAGCATTACAAAGTAAGAATACATATATATTACGGAGTATATATTATTCTATTTATCATATTGTAAAGGTCTAATCTTAACAAACGCAACAAACTTTTGTCAAAAAAATAAACGCAACGAACTCGTTCTTTTTTCAATTGTATCGAATCATTAACTTTTAAACGGGATTTTAAGATGGATTCTGTGCAATGAAAATTGATGACATGATGGAAAGATAATAATATAGAAAAGCAGGAAACATATTACAAAAATATGAAAATGCTTATGTTCTTGGTAAGTTTATAACCGTATAAAGAATAAGTGTGTTTAAAAAATCACAAAAAATAAAGTGGAAAAAAGAAAACTAAAGGGTGTGAATATTTTTCTCTTGGATGTGCTTTCTAACCTATTATACGGAGCATATGGTCTATCTTAAGGCCAACACGTGTGAACTAAAATGAAATTCAAACAAGTAGCTTCTTCCTTGGGAGCATGTCATATTGATGCCTTCAGACTAAAAGATACTTGATAAACCGAGTGGACTACTAAAATATAGTTATAATTGATGATTTAATAAGTACATAGGTTATTAGGCGATACTGTAAATCATCTAGGTTAACAAGACGTAAGATATCGGAGTCTATTCAAATATAAGAGCCCGTTTTGTAACATTGAAGTTGGCTGAATCGACTGTTTCTATTGATATTTATGAAGTTCTTGCTGAAGTGGCTGTATTGGCTGATTGTGCAGATTTATGATAAAATTATATATAAAATATATTGCATTAATAAAATAAAGAAAAATTTATATTAAAAATATTTAAAATGATTCTTTACAGTAAAGAAAAATTTTTAATAAAATTTATATTAAAAATATATTAGCCGATACAGCCAGAAGGGTAACTCTAACCTTACTTTTTCTTATTATTATACACAATTTGGAGGGAGATATCAAAAGTTACGTTTTTTGGTGAAAAAGTTGGCTAATAAGTTGGAAAACAGGCTCACCAAACAAGCTCTAAATAGTTCATTCAGTTTTGTTGAGAATCACATTGGGTATATAATTTTTGTTAATATTATAATCTCTAATTTAAATCGTTTATGCCCCCAATAACAGATTTTTTTGGATCCGCCACTGATTAAGATGATGAAGGCTTGCATGGGCGGAGCAAGAAGGGGACCAACCAAAGTCCTTGCTTACCACAAATTTAAAAAATGTCTCAATCTTTAAGGTTCGTATAAATTTTGATATTAAATTTTTTCAAAATATATCTTTTGTAATGGCTCAGTCCAGCTAGCCCAATGCCCGAAAGTTGGTACTACGTACTGATCATATATAATCCCTCTGCCCTCACATATATGCATGTGGACAATTTAGAAGTCCTTACTTGAATTCCTCTAGACACAATATAATTTGTTACATCTAATTTGATGGACAATAACTATGTGTAAGCTCATCCAAGTCAATATCTAGAGATGTCATTTTCCACTATTTAAACTTACACGTTCGTTGTAGTGGTGGGTGGTGGATGAAATCATCGGTATAAAGTATCATTTAATTTGTCGTCAAATATATAGTACAGTTTTGCCTTTTCAGATACATACATGCACATGCACTAATCCTCATGGCATGTTGTACTGTACTCGAAAATCTCTATCGCGGACACTATGCATATTAGATCATTGTTGATTGTACCTATGACATATTTCATGAATGGGTTCGAACATGGAGAATATATAGTCATTGTTTGACTGAGGAATCGTTTGTTTTCGCGAAAGAGTGACTAATTAAGGAACACTTAAGAAGAGTAATATGTAGTACTTCTATAATGTTATCGACTTAGAGCATAACAAGATTTATTACAAAGGTCTACCAGATCCATAACTGTCCGATCGATTCCTCGAACCTTAGGGATGACCGATGACGTGTTATTCTTTTTTTGTACCTTTATACGTAGTATATATTACCACTATGAAGGGTAAAATGGCATTAAAAATTCAGCTTTTGCCTGAATTGTTTTTTTAGCACCAAACAGTTGATTGGCATTAATTAAATCAAAGTTTAGTACATCAACAATTCTGCTAGGTGGGAAAAACGATCAAACACACCAATCAGACCCCTAGCTTTTGCCTGAATTGTTAGGATCTATTTATTAGTCCTAAAAGAGGAAGAATATTGAAGGCTAAAATGGTCTTAAAATATTCAGCTTTTCCTTGATTGTTAGCATACATTTAGTCCTAAAAATTAATGGAAGAATGAAGAACTAAGAGTCCTTTTTTGGAATATGATCACGTAGCCACCTAAGAGTCATTTTTTTCAAATAGCCACCTAAGAGTCTTATTCATGGTATTTTCCCAAAATTTTGAACCAGATTGACAATTTTAAATAAGACTCAAGCAATAATAGGCAATTGGAATAAGATGAGCTTAACTTTTGATAAATTGAATATAATTGAATATTGTACAATATGTTAATTACCTTAGGGAGAACTGTCATATAGGTCCTCGAACTTTCATAAAAAAGTCAATTAAGTCCTTCTATAGGAGACTTTGTCCGGTCGTCGCGATTTGGGGCGGTTCCCGGTGGAATTTTTTGATGAATTTTTTTGAGCATCTTACTCATCAAGTCTAGTTTACTCATACCAAATTTCAGCTAAAAAATTAATCTGGAGCACATTCAAATTAATTCGAAAACGCAAAAATGCGCAGTTATCTTCAAGAATTAATTTGAATGTGTCCCCGATTGAATTTTTAGCTGAAATTTGGTATGAGTAAACTAGACTTAGTGAATAAGATGCTCAAAAAATTTCATCAAAAAATTCCACCGGGAACTGCCCCAAATCGCGACGGCCGGGCAGAACGTCCTATAGAAGGACTTAATTGACATTTTATGAAAGTTCGAGGACCTATTTGACAGTTTTCCCATTAGCTTAACTTTTTCCCATGCATCCTCATTGTCCCCAATACATATAATTTTGGATGTACCGTATACACTTGGTACATCCGAAATATGAAATGTGCATTTCTTTAATGCAAAATGAGTTTTTTCCAAAACAAAATGAGCATGGTTTAATTTGTATTCAGATGAGTATTAAATTAAAGGAAAAATTCCCGATTTAGGACTTAAACAGTTTGGAAATTTCAAAATAGGACTGTCATTATGTTTTTTATTTCAAAAATAGGAGTAATTACTGTCAAATTTGGAAAATACTGCCAAATGTGACAGTTATTAGTCCTATTTTGGAATTTTCAAACCTTTTTAGTCCTATTTCGGATAATATTCTCTAAATTAAGCAAAGAATTATCGGAAAAGTACAATTTTCACAAACCGGGCATACTACAAAATCAGCTAAACAATACAAGTAAGCCCACTTGTTTTGACAAATAAATAAGCGAATAAGTGAACCAGAATGGAATTGGAAGCAAATCTTAATATGTTTAGCTTATCAAAGATTAACTCCTTGAAATACTGACCTTGAATGCATGAACTCATCGTGACACAACTAATATCGTTTGTTTGTTCACGAGGTTTTCTACGTATATGCTCTATTGCATGCATTAGACTATTAGAGTAACATATGTGTCGTGATCATTACAACCCAAATAAAGAATGGACATTGAGATCCCTCACGACAGAGTACTTGCTCAAATGGAGGTAAAGATTAAAATTCAGACCTTGAGACTTGTGTCAAAATGAACCCACTAATCTTATATCATTGATACTTTCATCTTATGGCTCCAAATGCACAGGCACCCTAGCTCGATCATTACTTGCCAAAGCATGACAGAAGAGCTGGATCCGATCCAAATAATAATCTTACTACGTATTATTTATTTATTTTCATTAGTTTGTTATTCAAAAGATTGGCGCAATTTGAATGTAGTGTAACAAATACTATGTCTTAGCTGTTTCTGTTATCAAGACATCAATAAATAAAGAATACAACATCAGGATCATATCTATTACCCCCTTCGTCCCGCAAAGATGTTCCCGCTTTCCTTTTTTGGATGTCCCAAAAAGAAGTACCTCTTTCCCTAAATGGAAAGTTATCCTACATCAAAACAGTGTCAAACAGTGTCCAAACAATGTCGAAAGAGTAAAATTTACCCCCTGGTAAGTTTATTTCCTTATTATGTGTGTAGCTCAAACCGGAAACATCTTTGCGGGACGGAGGGAGTATAATCATTACTTCCTCCGTCCTAAATTTATCTTCACAAGTACATTTGCACACAAATTAAGATAGTGGGAAATGTGTGGTACTGTGGTGGAGAGTTATAGAGAGGAGAGAAAAATGTGTAAGAATGGTTATTGTAAACCACAAATTCTATGCCAAAAAGGAAAAAAAGGAGATAAATTTGGGACGGACAAAAAAGGAAAGTATAAAGATAATTTTGGGACCCTATAAATATATGGAGTATTATATTAGGGCATCCTCATTCGTTAGATTATTTAGAGTTTAATTGGATGATGTGTAAGATTATTTTAAAGATTATCATTGTGAGTGAGGGATTATTTAGAGAGATTATTGAAAAAGATAATCCGGTATCAAGATTTGAATCCCGGATTATTTTAAGTTGTAGTTAAATTTCATTTAATGCATTGTCTAGAAAAACTAATTATTTGAATAACATGGTTGATGGAGAGTTTTAAGATTTGAGACTATTTAAAATTTATTTAATAAATCTGACGTGTCAATGACGTGTCATTGAAAAACCATTTATTTTAAGATCATGAATGGAGATGCTCTTACGAGTATTAATTAATATATTTAAATAAAGAGCGGTAACAATTCAATCTAGTTCATACCAGGAAAATCCAATTTTTAATTAAACCGAAAGTATATCATTTTATAACCGGAAACAGGACCAAATATTATCATGATTCAATGCAGCTCTAATTCATCCGATCTGGTCTATGGTTAGGTTTTCCGGTTTAAATCAGCCGTTCGGACACACTCCTTATATCGGATGAATAAGAGCATCTCCAATGCTAGAAGTGATAGCCACATAAATATTAGCAAATAAATTATCTCTCTCCTTATTTGAATGATTTTATACAATTTTGGTATGTTTTTTCCTGCAATGTCAATTGCAATGTCAACATCTAGACGGTCGATCTTCTTGACATTGTAGAGAAAAACTTACCAAAACTGTATATAATCATTCAAATAGGAAAGAAAGAATTTATTTACTAATATTTCATCTCTTATGGCACATGTGCACCGTGCACATTGTAACATTGGAGATGCTCTAATTGCCTATGTTTTTCCTTTCCTCTACTGCTATTTTGCTAACCATATTATAAAAGGAGACAAATTGCCTTAGAGAAAGAGAGCATAACTTGAGGGTTGGAATATGGAGATAGAGAAACCTATTAATGTTCTATTGTTTCCATGGATAGCAAAAGGCCATGTTACCCCTTATCTGGAGCTAGCCAAGAAACTATCCAAAAGAAACTTTCAAGTCCACTTTTGTTCCTCCCCGATCATTCTTGAATCGATCAGGGAAATCTTGGCCAAACAACACCATGATCTCTCTTCCTCAGTACACCTTCTTGAACTCCACCTTCCCTCCTCGCCGGAGCTTCCACCTAACCATCACAGCACCTCCGTGCTGCCGCCGCATCTTGCCTTAACCTTACAAACGGCATTTCAAAAGACGGAGAAAGCCTTCTTTGAAATCATTTCAACTCTAAATCCCGACTTGCTCATATATGATGGCTTCCAACCATGGGCGGCTTCTCAAGCTTCATCCCTCAACATTCCCTCCATTCATCTCCTCACCACGGGAGCCGTAACTATGACCCACTTTTTATACTACCATGTGAACGAGAGCCAGTCTGCGCTCCCATTTCCCGCTATTCATTACCTAGATCACGAGATTCATAAATATATAGAGAAATATAAAAACATAGCCATAGAAGAAACTGTGGACGTTGCAGGGTTGTGCTTCAAAGCTCTCCAACAGTCTCACAGCATCATCTTGATCAACACTTGTAGCGAGATTGAGGCCAAGTACATCGATTATCTCTCGCTTCTCACCAAGAAAGAGGTCCTCCCGATCGGGCCCCTAGTCCGAGAGGAAATGGACGAGGACGAACACGAGGAAATAACGAAATGGCTACAAGGGAAGAAAGAATCGTCATGCATATTGGCATCATTTGGAAGTGAGTATTGCATGACAAAGGATGAAGTGGAAGAGATAGCTCATGGTTTAGAGCAGAGCGAAGTCAACTTCATATGGTCACTTAGATTCCCGGTTGGTGTGGACATGACTATCGAGGAAGCTGTACCACAAGGCTACCTTGAAAGGGTGAGAGACAAGGGATTGGTGGTGGGAGGATGGATTCCACAAGGAAGGATTTTGCGTGATAAAAGAATATGTGCATTTTTAAGTCATTGCGGATGGAACAGTGTGCTGGAGAGCTTGGGATGTGGAGTCCCAATCATAGCTTTGCCGTTACATCTTGACCAGCCCTTAAATGCCAGACTGGTGGAGGAGATTGGTGTTGGGGTAGAGGTGATGAAAGGGGGTAATGGTGAGATAAATAGGGAGGAAGTGGCAAAAGCCTTGAGAAAGATTGTGATGGAGAAGGACGGGAAAGCATTAGCAACTTCAATGGGGTGCAAAGCTAAAGAATTGAGCGAGATGATGAGGTTGAGAGGTGATATAGTGATTGATGATGCCATTAATAAGCTGCTCCGAATTTGCAAAAAGAGCATTTAATAATGAAAGATTCTTCTTGTATGATAAACTAATGAAGAATAAGCTTTTTAATCTCAGAAGAGTGGCTTTATTTTTTTACTTTTTGGCACTTTGTCCATTTATGCAAAAAAAATCCAAGGAAGAAGAGACGATCCCCACCAGTTATCTACATACTTGGGGTAACAATTGAGCCATTTGAGCGTAGTTACACAGCGGAAACATTCTTGAAATGTACTAAAGGGTGACGGATTTGGGTTTGGAATTTGGAACATTCTTGACAAAGTGAGTATGATAAAGTAAAAGTTGTTAGAAAGGTACCTTAAGTGTTGTTTGAAGAACTAAATAGTTTCAAGAGTACAAGTTAGTAAGTTACTGCTTGAGAACAACTCAGATTAGCTTTCGCCAAACAGGCTTTTAAGAACTTTCCAGAATACCCTCTCTCAACTATAAAAAAAATTAAATCAACCTGTTGAAAAATCAAAAGCAATCAGAAAAACTTTAGAGATTCCAAAAGTGGAATCCAAACACATGCTAAAATGCATATGCCTGCGACCCCTGATAGTAGAACCTAGAAAATAAAGGTATAAGATCTCAGACTAAATCCAAATCATTGGTGGAAATATGTAAAAAAACTTAAACTTTCTGAAACCCATCACTTAGGGGTAGACGATGCACGTTGTTCCACAAACTCCCATGAGTCATGAGCATTAGATTGCGGTTTTCCAGATTCCAATATTTGTTTAAGCCACTTAATCTTGTTTCGCAGTTCCTCCAAATCCGTTACAGCAGCTTCCAAAGTGTCTGACCTCATGGAATTTAAGCGGACTCCTCCACTTGTTTTAAACTTATTTAACGGACAAGTGGCGTAATACAGGTTTTCATCAGTTTGACCATCAACTTGAGTGGCAGCATCACTGCTTTCCCTGTTACCAGAATCCTCACATATGTGTGTATCTGATTCCAATGTGCTTCTCACCTCCTTTTCTGTTTCAGAGTTTCTGTGGACATCACAATGTCCACCAAGATCCATAGAAACCTCATCCTCATCGTGATATATCTCTACATTATCGATTTGGTAAAAAAGTAAGGAACTATACAATGCAATCATCATTTAGAAAGGGACATTTCATTTGAAAAAATAATTAGAACAATTAAGGGAGAATTGGTCAATGCACCTACGTTTTACCCCAGTATGTTAGTATATATGTTACATTGCCCCACATGCTTCATTTCAGTTGAAAATTCGACTTAGATAAGGTCATTTTTACTAGACTTCGCACCCTCATGGTTTACCTAATATTTTATTTAACCCCCACTTTGGGGTGCTCTTGTTTTCACGTTTAAGTAAAACAAGTTATAAAACATAGGGTGCGTACAACCATTCTCACTTTCTGGAAAAGTTAACCATCCTGTAGTAACACCAACACATCAATTGACAGAGTGGACTGTTTTCATTAGTTTGTCAAATTATTGCAGGGTGTGTATATTCTATCATCAATTGTATTCTATGATGTGCATGTTGATTTTCCAATATTAATTTTAAAAAGGTGCAACTATTATAACCTCATTGTCATAATGTCATCTCATGATATTTTCAACGCCAAAGAAAAGCCCTATATTTTGAGTGTTTGAAATACTCTACACTTAAAATTTTGAGCATTAGTGTTGTTTCACTTGCTTGATGCAACAATTTCACGTGTACCTTTTAAAAACTATTAAATGGAACTAAAAGAAACACTAAACAAATTAAAGTACAATAAGTGATTAAATTAATCCTACATATCTTTTCATTTTTTCATTTTTTTGGTGTTCATATTAATACTGTCAAAGAACAATGGATCCACCACTAACAACGATAGTTTTGGAATTTCATCTTATTATTCTTTCTTTGGAAGTTTGGAACACATGTATTTGATTATTCTTTTCTGATGAGTTTATAGTGTTAAATAATTCTAGAAGATTAATTAACACTGTTGATTCCATGCCACTGACACCATCTTAGCTGGGACTTGGGATTGAGGTTACCAACTAAGCATTACTTTATTGCCACCAACAACTATCATTGATTACTTGACAAGGCAACACACAGCAGTGGTATTACCACATGAACAAACTTTTAGTGTGCAACGTGACACATGCAAGTAAGTATTCTCATATATCACAGTATATCTTGTCACATTCTCGTACCAGAAATGTAAAGCATATTAAATGAAACATACCTCTATTAATAGGTTGGATAAGCTGAGCACGTGGATGGACATTCTTACCATCCTATATTGATTTTATTTATGATGATTAAAATTTTGAAGGAGAGACATATCATCTAGATATGAAGAAATAACACAATCGTATAAATAGGCATGCCCGTGCCATGACAGAATTTGGAATTTTGGATCACAGAAGATGCTAGGGAAAGGACAGGTGCCAGAGGAAAATTATTTTTCCAGTTTTGCTTTACCTTAGAAATGCAAAGCAAATAATGATGAAATATCTAATAATTTTACTTACACATAGATCTTTAGATTTCTTAGTTTATACTCCCTTCGTCCCGAAAAGGTTGGCCAAACTTCCTTTTTTTGGATGTCCCAAAAAGATTTGTCATTTCCATTTAAAGTAAGGAATATGTGACTAAAGTTAATTCTCTCTCTGTACAAATTTCAACCACACAGTTTTTACTTTATTAATCCACGTGAAAGTCAACTTTGGCTAACCTTTTCGGGACGGGGGGAGTATATTATAGAAATAAATAAACTAAGAAATAAGTTTGGTCAATATCCAATATTGAGCTTCAACCGATGTTTTATTTCCTATACATTTTATTTTCATCAAAATTTACCCATCTTTCATCTCCATTTTCTTTCGCTTAGCATCTTCTCAACTCCAAACAGGCCCAAATGCCCAATATTGAGGTGGAGACAGTAGAGAACTAACAAGAGAAGTAGGCAAAGTCCAACCAAGCTCTGGAGACCAATCTAAAGATGGACGCAAATCTTTGACATGCACTTCATAAGATGTACCTTCACCAACGGGACGTGGAATCAGCTCAATCTGATGCATTAAAATAAAAAAATAAAAAAAAGGATGTAACAGAAAATGCTTTTGGATCAGCTATAAACAAAAAAAAACAATGCACCGAGACCACTAGAATGATTTACTGATATAAGAACAGTAAAATGGTGTCAAGACAGAATGAGTGAACTTAAAATAATAATGATAAAATTACCCTTGCTTTAACATTGTTAATTATTTTTGTAAGCTTTCCAGACCAGTAACAGCCACTAGACCACCAATCCACCAGATCTCCCACCTGCCAAGCGCCTTGAATAACGACTCTCACTTCTGTTCGCAAACTCTCATTGGCTATCTCACTTTCACGGATGATTGGTGGATAGGAAGGCCGCAACATCAGCTGCCTTGTACTGCTCTTTGACTTTGCAACATATGGAGGACGTTGATATAGTCTTAACCCTGTTAACTCTGCCCATATATAATATAAATTAAACATACGTGAATTAAAAAAATTATCAATTCAAGACCAAAAATATATGTTATCTATCAATGATATTGCTGTGACAGACTGACATTATCAATCTTAGACCCAAATATCGTGAACATTTAAATAAAATCATGAACATCAAATCTTTTTGTTTTTAATTACTATTATTTCATTTTATGGAAAATTTCTTCAAGGATTATATATTAAATCTATGAAAAGCACAAAGTAATAAGTTGTCTAGTTTTTGTTTGATAGTTTCAACCATCCTGGTCTTTCTGAACCAGTACTAATAATAACCAATCTTTAGGGTCATAGATAGATAAAATTCTATATAAATAATACTCTGTAATTAATACGGTATCCACCTATGCATGTCTACATTTTCGTTTTTCTGAACATACAGCAATGACAAGTTCAAAAATAGTTGAAAGGTTAAAAGGAAAGAATAAATAGGATTTGTGAATTCCCTTTAGAACTTGATAGCATGCCTATAAAATCCAGCTAACTGTTAATATATCCTTCTATGTAATACGAATGTCCCATTGATGAATAAAGTAAAGGGTTCCATCAAAATAGAGTGACTTTTGCATTAAACAAAATTCATAAATCAGACACCATAATAACATGTGACCACCTGATGGGTAAATATTCATGAATGAACATTTATGGAAGTATAACTTACTTTCATCGGGAAAATCAAAATACTCCAACAAGGCATTCCAATGTCCATGACTTTGCTTTATCTCCCTTATCTGAAACAAAAATATAAAGGCATAGATATCTAAATGCATAGAAAAGCCAAAAACAGATCCTGGAAAAGATATACTCCGTATATAACCTTATGCAGATGATATACAAGAGTGCCAACTGAAATTTGAAAACAGAAAGTAATATAAAAACAGAAGAAGACACATAAACACTTCTATACTTCTATATCACATAAAAAAAAATTGTTTTTTTTATTTCTATATCACATACATATGCATATAAACTATGTATTCCCTATGATGTGAATTATTAAACTAAAAAAAATAACATAAGATCAGACAATCAGCACAAAAGGATATCTGACTGTGATGAACACATAAAGGACTAAAATTAAGAGAATTATTTTTAACTTGTAACTGTGACACACTATGAATCTTCCATAAACAATATTCAACAATGTGATTCTGCAACCTTGAACATACTACATTTACATATGAGACAATGAGCCACTAGCATTTCTTAAGATTCCTAACATTTTAGGCTAAGATAGAATAATCTTTAGGTCAACCAGATCAATGAAATAGGTTATAAACATCATAATAACTACCTTGCAACGAAACCATGCGCCACGATATCCTTGCTGGAAAGATTTTGCCTCAGCAGATTGACCAACTTCAAAAGGCAGATGAAAGTCCATAATGACTAGCAAATATCACATCTGTGTAGAATCAGAATGAATGGATCAAGGATCATACAAACAGTGCAATTAGGCATGGATTTTGCAATTATGGTGTAATTAGCACAAAAAAAAAACAAAATCACACTGAAGATGAGATTCCCAAGCTAAGCCACGAAATCAAGATGTCAATTATCTGTTTAAGAGAGTATAATAACAGAAACAACATTTGGCCAGCTATGAAGCACTCACACGGAAACCTCGAAAGAAATTGCGGGCAGGACGAGAAACACCGAGACGGAGAATCCAAGTGGCGTATAGTTGACCGCGGACGGGGTCAAATGACTCGGACAGGCGGGATTCGAGGGGAGCGAACAGCTCCGGTTGACTTGGTAGTTAGAATGCAGAAAGAAACGAAGAGTTCGGAGTTCGGAGGGGAGCTTTTCCGGCAATAGCTGAGACAGATGCACATAGACGGAATAAGGGCTTCAGTGTGGTGGTTCGGAAGAATCCGGCGATGATTTGACGGGGAACCTAAATACGTGGATGCTTCATACGGTGATCGGATACTCGTAATGGTTTGAGATGTCCGGGGCGGCGGTGATGACAGATAACAGGTTGTCGCCGTGCGCTGCTTGGGCGAAAAAGAAAAGTGATTAGAGAACACAAAAGAGTCAAAATGGTTTTTATTTCCAAAAGTACATCAATTTGATTTTCGGTGCATCTCCGCGCACCATTGTTTTTGCTAAGCGCACCCATTTTACAACGTTGTTGGACAATTATGTCCTACGTGTATGTTGATAGTGGTTTTAACCTTTTTTAAAGTAACAACGTTGTTCAACAATCCAAATTATAACATTTTGCTATCAGAATGAAGCACACTATTTCACTAACTTGTCTTCCTGATCTTGAATAGAAGATATTCTTTGTTTATAATTCAAAGTTTTTCAAAAACATTACTTATAATTTGCAACCAAATTAAGATGGGGGAGTGACTGTACGTACATATGTATTTGAAAAGGTATTGTAACTCTATTTTAATCAAATTAATTATTGTTTGAAAAGTGTTGGTGTAGTAGATTGATATTGAGATTTAGAATAATGAAAAAAAACATACGACGTATATTATAGTAATAAAATTAAAAAAAACCTATATGAAAACAGTTAAACGATCATATAGTACATCAACTAAATTAGCCTTAACTATAACTTTACTTATATTGATTATTATAGAATTCATCACACGGAATTAAAAGTTACGTTTCTTACAATAAATTGGTTGATAATTGTGACAAAATGAAATTATGGTTATCATATGAGATTTGTGATATATTTAACTGTTCAAAATGACTTTTTTATAACTATTATGCGGAGCCCGTTCGATAACCCTGAAACTAGGTGAATCGATTGAATTTGTAACAAGTGGTAAAATTCTGACCAAAGCGGTTGAATTGGTGAAATCGACTGAGAGCCCGTTTGGAGACTATGATTTTCGGCTTATCAGGTTATCAGCCAACGTTTTCACCAAACACGTAACTTTTGATTTCGCGCGCTGAAATGTGTAATAATAAGAAAAAGTAAGGTCGAAGTTACTTTTCTGGCTGTATTGGTTGAAGTTAATGTAAAAAATCATTTTAGTTATTTATTCATATAATTTTTTCTTTATTATATTAATAAAAAAATATTTTAAATATTTTTTCATAAATCGGCAGAATCAGCCAATCCAGCCAGAACTTCATAAATTTCAGCAAAAGCAGTCGATTCAGCCAATTTCAGTGTTATCAAACGGACTCTGAATTATGAAAAAATGTTTATATATCATATTCTACTAATAAATAAAATTATTATTTGAAAAACAAAAAAAAAATTTGATCATAAAAAACCCTGTAAATAAGTGTAAACGAAACACAAATATTTAAATTTATTTAACAAAGAGAACCTTGAAAAAGATTTGAAATTAACAAAAAAGAAGAAGAAAAAAACAGGCCAAAAGAATGTGCGGCTGCATCTATCATCCTTTGTAGTTTGTACATTAGGTAATTGAAAAAGGCTTCATTTTAGACTTGGGAGTTGGGTTAGATTAAGTAATTTTGGCGGTGCGCCTAGCAACCCCCTTGATTTTTTAGTGTCAATTGAGTAAGCTCTTATTAAAAATATATGAGTAAAATGTATAAATAGTCCTTAAACTATCATCACTATATCGTTTTGGTCCTTCAACTAATAAATCTATCATTTTAGTCCTTGTTCTATTTAATGCATTTTAATTCAGTCCTTTCGTTACTTTTGGTCGTTTACAATTCACGGTGGTCAAACATACACTCTTTATAAATTGTTATAAGACTCATCCTTAACTAAATAATTCCCTTTTTGCCAAAAACCTAAATAATTCCCTTATTGATAAATATTAACCTTAATCAAGCATATTTTTAAATATTAATATGCTGCTTTTACTCAACAAAAAAATAACTCAAGCATAATACGTAGTATTAAATACTACTGCATATGTATTAACATGTTTTTGTTATGAATACTCCGCTGAGTAATAATTTTAATAATAATAATAATAATAAATATTATGTTACTAATATTAATAATAATATAACTAAGAATAACTACAATCCTTATTTTTTATCAAATTTGATTCTGGTTTTTGCGACTTTGTAAAATTTTAATTTAGTTTCCTAATATGTAATTTTTTTTTCTAAAAATAATTTGAGTGCGGACAATGATTTGTAGACAAAGATCTATTTGCTTTATAATCAGTCAAACATCGTAAACTGTACCGTAAAGTGCCTTACAATTCGGGACGGAGGGAGTACTACATAATTTTTTTTGTTAAATGACTCTAGTAGTAGTAAGGAAGTGGCTTTGTATCATTTTCATTAAATAGAAAGTGATTTCTATAAGTTCTCGTTTGTTTTTTTAGACATCTTATCTATGGTGAAGGTCATTTTAAAATGAACACCCTAATCCAAGACAGAGGTAGTACATGATATTCTTGGTTGAAGGTCACCGTTGATATTATTTAAACTTATTTTTCCTAAAAATAAAAGTTTGACAAAGTTCAGACTGAGAAACCTCTCCTTATTATCCCCACAAATTTCTTACAACAGAATAGAAGTGATATTACACTTTATGGAAAGTGTAATGCCTAACTGCACTAAATTCAAAAGTATAATGCCTAACTGCACTTGAACCATTCTTACTAGTACACACGTGTACACATAAATCATAACATTTGCAATGCCAAAAAAACAAACAGTCAAAGATAGCCTCAAGTGAGATTGCCAAATGCATGCATAAACACAGTCAAGGAGAGCCACCACTTAGATGCCAAATCCAGATCAACGAACACTAATGTTCCTTCTACCAGTCCTCAAATTTCAAGATTCATATGCCGCCAAGTTCCCAAATCCAATAATAAAAAAATGCATACATGGAAATGGAAACATCAAAATCTATCTATATACAAACCACCGTGGAAACAATGGCCAAACTCCCACTCAAAAATGTCTCAATCGTTGGTCAAAACTCAAAAGTCGGTCCATAGTATAATGGTGGTAATTGTGGGCGAAGACGCATTATTGTGGGGAAAGTTTATTTGACGACGTAGCAACTATGTTAGGAAAACATGCACAACCAAACACACGTAAAAAACTATACTCTGGAGGTTTAAGAAAAAGTTTCTCGAACGGAGACACATTACCCAAAACAGGTGTGGGTAGCCGATTAATAATGTAAGTAGCTGTATATAAAGCATCTACCCAAAAGGAGGTAGGAAGATGGGCAGTAATTAACATGGTCCGAGCTAATTCAAGCAAGTGACGATGCTTACGTTCGGCCACACCGTTCTGAGCAGGAGTATCCGGACAAGATTTTCTAAATAAAATACCACAATTGTGAAAATGTGCATGAAAAGAGGAATTTACAAATTCACCACCTCCATCACTCTGAAAACATTTAATTTTACAGTTAAACAAATTTTCAACTAAGTTTTGAAAATTACAAAAATGAGTAAAGACTTCAGATTTTCTATGCATTGGATAAATCCACGTGAAACGAGAAAAATCATCAATAAAAGAAACATAATATTTAAAACCTAAATTAGAAGACACAGGTGATTGCCACACATCTGAATGAATAAGTTGCAAAGGAGTACTAGAGTCATGAATAACATCTGAAAAGGGAAGACGATGGGACTTGCCCAGTTTACACGAAACACAGTCATGAGAAAATAAAGTTGAACTAGTAATTAAATTATTTTTCCTAAGAACAGATAAAATGCGATCCCCACAATGACCAAGTCTTTGGTGCCAGACTGGACCAGGAACAAGTGTAGACTTGAGAGCAATCGGAAGGGCTGGCTGGTGAGCGGCTTTGAGGGGATAAACACGGTCTTTATGAGAGGCCTGGAGGAGGATGGCTCCCGTGTGGTTGTCCTTAACAATAAAATAATTTTTATTAAAAATAACAGAGCAATCATTATCCGCACACAACCTTTGAATAGATAATAAATTGTATTTGAGTTGCGGGACATGAAACACATGTTTTAAACTTAACGGGCGGCCATTGGTGGATAAATTAATTGTGCCAATATGAGAAACTTGAAGATTAGTACCGTTAGCAACTTGAATAGAATGTGGGCCATTATAAACAGATTTATTTAATAAAATACCTTCTGAGGGAGTCATATGAGCCGAAGCTCCTGAATCAGGATACCATACAGAGTCGTTTGATTCACCCGTCGGGAGAGCCGCCAGAGCTGGAGTATTTTGGTTAACAAAACGGGAGCATGACAGTGCTGAGTGACCTGGAGAAAAACAAATCTGACAGACAACGGGTGGAGGGGGACTCTGAAAGGAATTCTCAACTGAAGGAAATCCTGAAAAAGTGTGGTTAGTAACACAAGATGATAAAGCATAAGTATTGGCCATAACACGACAAGTATTACTTAAAACCGTACCTGGAAACCCATTATGAGACTGTCCACGAGGAGGAAAGGGTTGTTGGGGCGCTGGAGGAGGCATCTGCCAGCCGTAATACCCAGGTGGAGGAGCAAAGGCCTGCTGCGGTCCACCATATCCTCCACGACCTTGCTGCTGCCCGCCATATCCACGACCTCTGCCGCGATTTCCACGCGGTCTGCCACCCCGAAAGCCACGACCTCCGTATCCCCTGTTTTGCTCACCCCCTCGACCGGCAGGACGTGGTCCTACGGCTGGATCAGTTGCTGCAAAAGCTTGATGCCCAGGGTGTATATTTTGGGATCGGAGATAGAGAGCACGCTGCTCCAACGCTAGCAATTGTGGGTGAAGACTGTCCACGGTAAAACTATCCGGGAAGAGTGTAATGGTGGTAATAAGGGACTCATATTCCTTTCCAAGGCCCTGAACAGTGGCTGTGAGGAGTTCCCGGTTGCTAACTGCTGAATTTATGCATGCTAGGGAATCGGCTAAATTTTTAATTTCGTGGAGATAGTCATCCATTGATTGAGACTCCTTTTTCTTAAGTGTGTTTAACATTCGTTTTAGTTCAATGGAGCGGGCAATGCTCTCTGCCATAAAACGGGTTTCCAACCGTTCCCAAATTAAAGCGGAATAACGAATATCATGAACCTCAACCAACATATCTCGGGATAGAGTAGCAAATAACCAGGAGCGGACAGTTTGATCAATTCTTAGCCACGCACTATATTCGGGATTGGGAATGTCACGACCAGTGGGGTCCAAAACAGAGGCAGTTGGGGCTGTTATAGAGCCATCTAAAATTCCCAATAATGCATGCGAAACTAAGAATGATTCAAATTGTGTACGCCATGGAAGATAATCCTCAACCTTAGCTAGTCGAGTAGTGACTATGTTGGTAACATTAGGTGTAGAGAATGACAACTGAGATGCTAAACTAGCCAAAGGTGAAACAATTACCGTAGCAGGGTCTGGCCGAGTGATTGATTGTGGCTGGAGAGCATTAACGGCTGGATTACCAGCCCATGTAGGGCCTGAAAACGCTGGCAGAGAAGAGGAAGAGGAAGAGGCCCGAGCCGGAGATGGTGTCCTAGCGTGAATGGGAGGCGGCGGCAGCGTTACTGTTGGGGTCCATGAAAAAGGCTCCGGCATGTTGAATAAGTTAAGCGAAGGCAGCGGCGGAAGCTGAAGCCGAGATGCTGATAGTTGTGGAGAAAGTGTCACGCCTGAGGATGTGGGCAGCACCATCGGTGAAGTGGGCGCCGAAATTGGAGGCATCATCGTTGAAGAAGGCGTCTGAGTTTGCGGCTGCACCGAAACGTTGGGCGCCGTGATCGACGTAGATGAGACGGTCGACATTAGGAAGTAGGGTTGAGAGACCTATGCTCTGATACCATGTGAAATAATAAAAGTGGAGAATAATGGCTTACCTCACCGGTAGCCCTCACGTCATATTTATACTAATAATATAATAAGGTTTAATACAAATGGGCCTAACTATGTCCGCTATTACATGAATGGCGCTGGAAAGTCCGGAGGTTAATAGACGGTATTCCATATAGCCCATATAGCCCGCCGGATATCGCCGATTTCATAGCCACCCGGATATCGCCAATTTCATAGCCACCCGGACATCGCCAATTTCATCTGGATTTGGCATAGAGGAGGCAAAGCATGTGGCGATCGACGGCTAGCAGTGACGCATCCACTGCAGCGACATCAACGGAGGGCCATAGAAGGGGGAGACCACATCAGATTGAGACTGCTTGCAATCAAGTGCCTCAGCAACCAATTTTCTGGTCTGGAGGACGGGAACGGCTGACCTGGGGCTTTCTTTTTAAGAGACAGTTCCAATCCAAAGAGGACGAGGAGGCCGGTGAGGCAAGTGGCAGACTGGCAGCCTCACCGACATGCTGACTTCAGGAAGAAGAAAGATAACGGATAAGGTTTCTTCGGGTTTGGTCGGGGGATTCTGATTTAAAGGTACAACCAGTAACTTCTTCAAGTAATTTCCTTTGCACCATTAGTTTTATATTGAAAATTAATATTTGTTTGTTGATGCTTGGAATAATTTTTCTGCTATAACTAGCTTTTGTTGAAGTAGAAGAGATCTTCTCAATATGTAGGTTAAAAACGCAGGTATAGTCACATACCACTTTATAAGATTTCTTAGTACTTCGTATATTTTTGATCAATTGGAGTTCTGTATAAGTGAGGCATGAAGTAAAATCTGATTACATACCGTGTTTGATAGTAGTATATTAGAGTGATGGTTTACATCTCCTTATGTGCTTGGCAGTAGGGTGAATTTGACTTTTGACTGTATGGGGTATGCAATCGGGCTTGCTTCATGGATTTTTATGTATTTTATTTGGTGATGATTTTGAATTTGTTTCATCATTTTCAGTTTTTGTTTTTGGAGGAGATTAAAATTAAGGATGAGCGATTAACTGAAATTGGGGTAAGTTTTCAGTGTTTGCTCTTAATTAGTTTTCTAAGAGTACATTATTTTATCTTTGAGATTTAGCAGCCATTTATAATTTAAAAAGGCAATATCTGCAATACGTGTGTGTTTGCTATCATATTATATGTTATGCTATCATATTGTACCTTAAAACTCCATCTATATTTATATTTAGAACCTCTTACAATTCGTTTATGTTTTGCTATCATATTATATGTTATGTTTAAGCCTTCACTTTCAGAGTAAAATTTTGACAGTTTCCACCTGCTGGAGACGATTCTCTCGGGTACCAAGTAGGCAAGCAGTGAGTACAGACCATTGATTGACCGACAACGCTGCCTATCAGTGAGCACCGAATTGCTGATGCCGATCGACCTAAGTGGGCTGAGCGAGTCTTCTTTTCTACTTCTCTTATTACTCTGTGATTTTGTCTCTTAATCTCTTTAGTAGTCAATAGTCATTATTTAGTCTCATTCTTTTATCTGTGTTGTTGCCTGCTGCTTCTGCTTGTGTAGTTCGGTAGTTGTACAAAAATGACTGATGAGTTAATTAAACGACTAAAGGACTAATGAGTAAAGCATCCCTGCAACTGGAAGTTTTTGTTCTCTATGGCCTGGATTAAGGATTTTTACTTTTTCAGGATTTGAAATAAATTTCTATATTTATTATTTGAATGTGATTGAAGGTTTTAAGTTACACTTATGATTAATGGCTATAATTTATAAACTATTGAGTTAATATTGCTATATTGGCATTGCAAGGATGGTAAATAAATGATGTATATTGTGCTTGTGCAGTTGTGCTAATAGAAAATTTGAAATATTGAAGTAAATTTTACTTTATTTGATGGTAGTAGTAAAGTAGTTATTTTGTTTGATTTTCCATTGTCACTAATAATTGTATTTGTCACTTTTAGATTATTGTTGATTGATTTGTTTAAACAAACTAAGTCCCTTCTCCCCGTGTGCATCTAATTTACCCTTCTAACTGCAGGACTTTTTCAAGCATCTAATGAAGTACCTAAACTGGGAGCTTACGTGTGATGAAGGTATACTATGCTTATTGAAAGAACTTGAAAATACCTGGTGGAACGTACAGCTATTTGGAATACTCCTGAGTCCCGTCTCTTTTTTGGATCATTACATTGTTACTTCTGCCATTTCAATGTTGCTATTTTGAGTTTTTGTTACTTTTTAATGTTTTGGTGGTTTATTTTTGAAAATTTTAAAATTCAGAGCTCAATTGAATAACATCAGTTCATTTTGTTTCATTTTTTGACCATGACAGATTAGTTTTTGTGATATGGTATGTTTAGTCAATTTGCTTTGTTTTCACAAGTTTTGTTGCATCTGAAAACACACACCTTAAAATGTGTACTGATATCTCAGACAAGTATTTGACTTGACATACACTATCCAGACTCCGAGTACATAATTATTTTGATTTTTTGTTAATAGTATGAATAAAAATAATACTACTAATGAATGTGAATTTGTATCTAGGATATATAAATAGTAAAAAAGAATAGCAGTCCATAATTGATTACTTCAAATGGGAAGTTAATAAAAAAAAGTTTAAAAATAATTAACCAACATGTATATAAAAAGCATACGCTTTGGAGAGTTATGTAGCATTAGAGCATCTCCAATGGTAGAATGTGCACGGTGCACATGTGGCATGTGAAACAATCACATAAACATTAACAAATAAATTATATCCCTTCTTATTTGAATGATTTTATACAATTTTAGTATGTTTTTCCCTGCAATGTCAAAATCTAGACGGTCTCCTTGACATTGTAGAGAAAAACTTACCAAAACTGTATAAAATCATTCAAATAAGGAGAGAAAGAATTTATTTACTAATATTTATGTGGTTATTTCTTATGCCACATGTGCACCGTGCACATTCTACCATTGGAGATGCTCTTACTCAATGGAGAGTTATTTTACAACATTTACTTAAATGTTTGTTAAGTAAATGATACCCTATTACTCCAATACGTTTTGTTTTTGGTCATTTAGTTCCTCTCCAATAACATGACACTAAATGTGAACAATATATCTGTCATGCTCATTATAATCATCGATCAACATATAATTATTTATCAAGAAAAAAAGAATGTATTACCTCAAAAGATGCATGAGGTGAAGGTGTACTTATGACTTATTATACAAAACTTAATCAGTTCAATGATTATATTACAAATCGTGTTATCAGTTATGTCTCGCGACTCAAGTTGTAATAGTTTGAAAAAATATATTTGTAGTGACAACAATTATATTACAATTCATTTATCAGTTATGTTTCGCGACTCAAGTTGTAAAGGTTTGAAAAAAAAAATTGTAGAGAAGATGACAAATCAATGGACCACACTATTAATGTTATTTATAAAAAAGTATTTTAAAACTTGCAGGCTCTTACAAGCTCATTGTAATATTTAGTTCATCTAATCATCTTCTTCCCAGATTATCTCCAATAGCTTTCAAAGTCTATTAATTATACTCTTTATTGTATATGACTTCTTATTCTCTTTGAATACATTTGTTACTTCTATTTACATAAGTACTTTCATTAACTAATACTGTGTATTAAACAAATGATATAATATTAATTTTATTTAATTTTGTTCCGTGCATCGCACGGGTGAGAATCTAGTATATGGAAACGGAGCCTAAGTTGGGGGACGCACCTGTAAACAGAGGAAAACGAATAGTATCTGATTGGTACAGGTCAACCACAAAATTATATGATACATCTTTTTTCAGCCCAACTAACTACAGGTCAACCACAAGTGAAATCAAAATATTCCACCGGTCACAAACTTGATTGGCAAAAGATAGTTTTTTTTGGCAAAAGAAATCAAAATAATTAACTGTAATACATCTATGCTCGAATTGGCCATTTATGGTGGCAGGAGGACCTCCACAGACCATTTCAATCGTGAAATAGTCAGAATTATCATCTGCAAGTGAAAAGTTGAGAATAAAAATGAATCCCAATTTTAAAACATAATTAAAGTAACTCATTAATACACATAGCTTAAGATTTTAGATTAGTTAACAAACCAACATTCACAAAGATGAAATACAAGTAAATAAAGAATTAGTTCTTCAAAAAACACTTCTGCTAACAAGAATTAATTGTTAATGGAAGTATTTCATATTCTTCAAAATTTACAAAATAATTTTAGCTAGGAGGAGGATATAACACAAGTGTTGCTAGATTCTAGCTAGGAGCAGCCATGTACTGTCTTCACTTACTCATAGGTCTGAAACTATATATACATATAAATACATTTAAGAAGAATAAATCATAAATGGTCATATCCTGGGAGAAGCTGGTGCTCAAAGAAGGAGCAGTTGGATATTAAGGTAGCTTTATCAAAACTCATCCATTTTGTTTGAACCATACAAGTGAACTTTTTTATGGGGAAGATTGATTCATCTACTAGAGCTAAAAAAGGTTCATACAGATAAATTGGTTTCAAATTACAAGTAACTTTGGATACTATAGTTGCCTTTCAAGAGGAATGCAACAATCCAATATTTCGTGTACAATTGCTTCACTTAGGATTAGGTTCTTCCTCAGTTGTTTTACCTGTTTAGGATGAATACCATCATATATTGAAAATGAGCATTGTAAATAAAAAAAAATCATAAGTTGGTTTAGAACAAATATCAAACACTTGGTGTACACAAAGGTTTCATCTATCCCACTCATAATGATGAAGTTATTGTATTCAATAGAATTAAATACAACACCATGAAAGTTGAGGCAAGAAAATACTCATTCTGAGTTTACAACCTCAACTTGGTCTTTACCTCTAACTCCTCTACAAATATTAAAATAGAATATGGAGTCACTATAATATTAAGGGATCAAATCATATTTAATTACTTACCATATACCTTCTTCTCTGTAATTCCACTTGTTCTTAAGCTCCAACTCATATTTGTACCTTAGTGATGAGCCTTTTCACCTTTGTAGTGAGGAAGAAGAAATTAAACTCTCTGCCACTTGACTTAGTTTAGTCAAGGACAAGAGGTTTATAGCTTAAGAGGAGTGGGCTCTTGTAGTTCTCTCTGGCTAGGCGATTCCTTATCACAGGTCGTAGATGGAGATGGTGCGGTTTTAGGAAGCTTTAAAGTAGGGTCACTTGGGTTGATCGATTTTCATTGCTGCGGCCATCCCTAAAAAATTCAATTGTATGCTGGAATAGTAATTTAAATGAAATATGGGTCTTACAAAATTTAATAAACATGTAAAGTTTGACCACCCTGAATATAAACAGCCAAAACTAATGGAAGGACCAAATTAAAATGCATCAAATAGAATAAGGACTAAAATGATAGATTTATTAGTTGAAGGACCAAAACGATATGGTGATGATAATTTAAGGACCATTTATGCATTTTACTCTAAAAATATCCTTATTACAAACCCCCTATTAAACAAAGACTCTTCTGTTAGGCTTGTATTTTTTTTCATCTTTTCATTGATGTTTTTCATTTTTCAATCACATTTTCCAGATCAAAAATGCTAGGGGTACACCATTTGTGTACACCCTTGGCACCCCATTTAAATACTCCCCTATTTTTTTACCTCACTTCTTTTCCTTCCCAATTCAAAATTTTACCCTATTTTCTTTTCCCTTCCATCCATCCCAATTCCCGCTCCATAATCCCGCACCCCCTCCACTCGGACCGCCATCTTCGCGGGACAACCGAACCCACCCAGCGACGCCGGACAATCGAAGCCATCCAGCGACGCCGGACAACCGAACCCATCCAGCGGACCCACTCCAGGATTCGGACCGCCATCTTCCCCTTCCTCGGCTCGGCTCTGCTCTGTAGAAACGAAGGGTTGCTGTAAAAATCATGGCCAATCGAAGTTCGTAGACGGACAACCGAACCCATCCAACTGAAGTCAGTTCGTCAAGGCGCTGGTCCAAGTTCGTAGACGCGCTGCTGTGCTCCAACTCTACGAGTCGCCAGTCCAACTTCAACGAAAAAAGAAGATAACTTTGAAGCCATGGTGCGAACAAGTTTAACCGATCTTGCTAAAAGGTAATATTTTCATCCTTGTGCAGTACTCACCTTACCATAATTGATTTAATTTAATTAAAGTAGACCTAATTTTCTTTGTGATTTAAGAGTTGTCTGAGATGTTGTTAGTGTGTTGTTAGATGTCTGTGACATGTTCTGAATTGTCTGTAAGGAGTTCATACATGAGTGTGATGTTTTAAATAGATGCATGTCATTCATATTCCTGTGTCTGTCTTTTTTTTGTAGTTGTCTGTCCAGTGCTTAGAATTGTCTGTCTCGTGTTTTCAGTTGTCTTTCATTTGTTTTGAGTTGTCTGTAACAACTTTACAATTGTCTGTCATGTTTTCATTTGTTTGTTGTTCATATATCCTTTTTTGTCTTGTGTTGTGAGCTGTCTGTGAAGAATTTTTAAATGTCTGTGCTGTGATACATAGATGTCTGTCATTCTTATTGAGTTGTCTGTCTCATTTTGTGTGCATTTTTGGAAATGTCATAGGGCTCTGGAATTGCAAATTCCTGTCTGTGACCACTTCCCCGCTCAAATATCATAGTGTTCTGAATATAAAGATGCTACAAAGTTGGTGAAATCGGGTTTGACTTCTGCGCAGTTTGCTGAGTTTCGGAAGATGTCATGGGGCCATCTTCTTGATGTGCCAGAGCTACAGTTCTCAGCGCAAATTGTCCATAGCCTCTTGTTGAGACTAGTGTGTGACCAGCCTAACGATGAACTATGGTTTTGCGTCAATGACAAGTTGTTAAAGTTTACCTACAATGACTTTGAACGCATTACTGGGCTCCGTTCTATGGGTCCAACTCCGGTCATCTCTGATGTGGATGAAGGCAATGGGATGTTACTAGATAAGTTCTTCGGTGGTGCGAGTGAGTTCAGCTTTGGGACCTTGACAGCAAAGATGCAGTCACTAAAGCCGAAAAAGGCAGGACCTCGCGGTGATCCTCTAAAGCTTGCATGTGCTTTTTACGTGAAATGTGTTTTGATACCAAGGAACAAGAAAACATTGATGAATTCTCAATTTCTGAAATTGGCGGATGATTTGGACAGATTTAAAGCATACCCCTGGGCAAAAGTGTCCGACAATCTAATGGTTTCTCAGATAAAGACTCTTATGGTTGGACAGGGCGATAGGTTTAAGGAGAATAAGAAAGCCAAACCTCAATACAAAAATGCAAAGTTCACATTGCACGGCCTTCCTCTCGTCCTACAGGTAATGTTCACCTTATATTTGATTGTGTGTTTGTATTGTCACGTTTGCATGAAACACAAACAATTTTTTTCTGAAAACAGACACTTCATCCTTTATTACAGACATTTCTTAACTGTAGACAGACAACTTATTCTGCCACATTGTTTTTGTTTAATTTTCTTTTGTTGTTTTTCAGGTTTGGGCCTACGAGAGTCTGCCAGAGCTAGGACGGAGATGTGCTGAACGTGTTGGCAATCATGACGTCCCCTTGCTCAATTGGAAGGCTACGGGGTTCTTTCATTTGCAAACGCTAAATGAAATGATTTTCAAGGATCATTACGATGTAATGTATTTGTGTGTTTTAAAATATGAAATTTTGCTTCAAAGTGTGTAAATAACTATAGCTTGTACGTGCAGGAGGAAGATGAGGAAGACGATGGTGAAGATGATGATGGCTTCAAATCCAAGATGATGGTTGAAATGAAAAAGCTACGAGCGCAAGTGGTGTCTCTAGAGGCGCGGCTGAAAGTAATGGAAGATAGATTGGTTGTTGGGAGTGTGGCTGAGGAAAAGCATGATGAAGTTGCAGTTGTTGAGGAGGATCATGTGGAAGTAAGTTTTATTGTGTTTCCAACAATAGAACATGTTTCCCCTTTCAATGCTTTTCTGAATGTCTGTCTTTCCTTTATTTTTGTCTGTCTGATATATTATTTGTCTGTCTATATGTCCTTTACAATTAAATGTAGGTGGAAAATGAAAATGCATCTGATTTCAATGCTTATGTACCTTCTGATGAGATTCATGCATCTCTAGCTGAAATTGAGAAGCATGTGGAAGTAAGTTTTATTCTGAATTTCTGTCTTTCCTTTATTTTTGTCTGTCTGATATATTATTCGTCTGTCTGTATGTCCTTTACAATTAAATGTAGGTGGAAAATGCAAATGAATCTGATTTCAATGCTTCTGTACCTTCTGATGAGATTCCTGCTGCTCTAGGTGAAATTGAGAAGCATGTGGAAGTAAGTTTTATTATGAATGTCTGTCTTTCCTTTTTATTTGTCTGTCTGATATATTATTCGTCTGTCTCTATGTGCTTTACAATTAAATGTAGGTGGAAAATGCAAAAGCATCTGATTTGAATGCTTCTGTTCTTTCTGATGACACTGTAGCTCAACATGACAAGCAAGAGGGAGTACGATTTCATATGTTTTCAATTATAGAACATGTTTCCCCGTTCCAAACATCGCTGAATTGTCTGTCTGTTCTTTCTACATTTCATGTTTTCTTATTTTTTTTCTCATAAATTGTTTGTCTATCCTTTATCATTAAAACCAGCAGCGTATTGATGAGTGTCATAAAGCTGAAGTTGAACATGAGAAGAATGAAGAAATTGCACATGTTATGCACCTTTTTTTCCCCGTGTTATGTTCTTTTTAGTAACCTTACATTTTTTTGTTATGTGTGTAGCATAAAATCCTTAAGAAAGATATAGGCAACGACACACATTGGAGTGGAGATAAATACCTGAAAAAGCTGGACTGGAAAAGTTGTTTGAAGGTATTGTCTGTCTAAGTGTTGTAAACGTCTGTCTATTATTATTTCGCACCTATTTTGTCTGTCTCGATAGAACACCTAGCATTTTTTATGAAACGTTAATTCTTGGCAGGTTTTGTTTCCCTTAAATATTGAAACACAAGCACTGGATCTTGGCGGAAGTTGTGTTTCGGAGCAGACTGGTTAGAGTATACGACTCGCTTAAGACTTCTAGGACTCCATTTTATGCTAAGGACTTGTGTGAGCGGCTGCCATACCTAGTTCGTGCCATGGGTTTTTGTACGAATGACAGTGATTTGCAACCGTGGAAAGCAGTAGCTGTGGATGGTGTGCCACAACAAAAAGAAGCGTATGAAATTTAATATTAATATGCATAACATTTATTGTCTGTGTAAGTGTTGTAACTCTCTGTGTGGGATAATTTTGTCTGTTTACAGGTCGGGTGAATGTGGCGTGATGGTCCTAGCTTTTGCATAGCAGCTACTCCAAGGGAAATCATTGCTTCCTGATTGCGACTATGGCAACATGTCGAACAAAAGACTTGAGTATGGTATTCGGCTTTGGCGCTTGAAGAAGGAAGATGCGTAGAGTGTTGTAGACATCATTTTTATTTGAAGTTGTAGTTCGAACAAGTATTGATTTTGTGTATCTATTGAACTTGGAAACAATGAAAAATGGCTGGGGTATTTTGGGGAAATATGTCGAAGTTTGTACAATGTCATGTACTAAATGTTGTACAATCTTCAACAATTGGGTGCTATATTTTCAGCGTGTATGTTTATTTTCCAAACAATTCATTCACAGGTGACCACTTATTTATGTGGATTTTTTGTTTGTATGAGAATATTTTGTTTTGTCTGTGAGGTTATAATTTCACCGTTATCGTGTATTGTATGTGATTTGCACAACACAAAATGTCTGTCTGGTTATGTGTGTTGTCTGTGTACGTATATTTATTGTCTGTCTATCATTTCAAGCAACGCAACACAAAATGTCTGTCTGGTTATGTGTTTTGTCTGTGTACATCTATTTATTGTCTGTCTATTATTTGAAACAACGCCACATTGATGATTCATAACAAACTTCAGTTTTCAGTTACCCCGTTATCATTCACACACATTACGTTTATACGAGGCAATAATGTTCAAAGCACAAAAGAGAGTACATGATAAACTACATCAAACTAAGGTTTAAGTCCAACCCATAATCATTCATACATTCCATAAATACGGGAGTTTGAGGAATTTGGTCTGAACCACCAATGATGTCAACTGTAGAACCCTCCTTGCTCAAATTTTTTGATTTTGTCTTTGCCTGCAAAAGAAAAACAAAATAAGTATTGTTTTGACATGCAAGTAAAAGGTAAGTACACAATCACCTTTTGTTTCTTCTTTCCTTTTTCAAGTGGACCCTTTATGCGATTTTTTCTTGGTGCACCCTTGCGTTTTGATATTTTTGGATCCAGAATTTTATTCGGATGATCGGCATGGACACTTGTGCATATTTGAGGTATTTGTGTCATGGAACCACATATACTTGAATTACCCTTTGATGCAGTACATTCATTCAATTGCCTTTCCATCCATTGCATAACCATTTCATATTTTTCCTCGTCATCGGCAATGACATTCGCAAGAGCTTCAAACTTCATACACAACTTGTCAAATCGTTGTTGTTCCACAGTAGTGATCCACCCGTCATAGTTTATTTTGACTCGTGTTTATGCTCTCTTCAAATCCCGTCTCCATCTTTGCATTATGTATCGGTCAGGCAAGATGGTGTCAACGTTGTAACGCACTAGGACCGTAATCATATGTTTACAAACGATGCCTCTAAATTCGAATAAATGACAGCTGCATTGACCTTCATTCAAAGTGTCGTCATATTCGACTACGTAGTTAGTAAACTTGGCAAACCCATTAATTCGTTTAACTTCTTTGACATGAAACTTTTGTCCATCTTGACATTTAATTATGTCACAATAAAGCTTGCCAACTACTTCTTCTTGGAATTCCTTAAACTTGCAAGTGTGTATAGTCCTTGTACTTGTTTCTCCATTTCAAATATACTAACACATGCAATCATTTTTGTAAATGATTTCGTGTCTGCATGAAACTCGTTTTCTGCCTTACGTCTCAAAGCCCGACCGTATTGCTCCACAAATAGTTTGAGACTTGTTTTGGAGTGCACGAAACCATCAAAGAATGCGTTCATGCTCTCACTTCTTTTTGTGGTGGACATACTCGCCCAAAATGTGGGTTTAAGGTAACAAGGTACCCACCGTTGACGTTCGTTGTACATCACCCCAAGCCAATCATCATCTTGGAGTGAATAACTGCGACATCATAGGAATCTATGTTACAACCAAAGTATTAGTGTGTTCCAGACATTAAATGTCCGCCACAAAGAAGTTATGTGTGTTAGTTAAGCATGATAAATTATATTGTCCCAGACCCTAATGTCTGTGACAGACAACTATTGTCTGTGAGACAGAAAGTATTACTTCACTCCAGACAGCAATTGTCTGTCACAGACAACTTTAGTCTGTTAGCTATAAATATTTGGTCGGTTTTCAACTAAGATTAGCATTGAATACCTTTCTACAATCACTTTCCAACCCACTTCAAATGCAGTTGGGGTTTGTGAGTCGTATACTACGTCGTGTATTGCGGACATAATATCATCTTTATCGGTAAAACCTCCCATCTTTTCCGGTAGCTTCTTCATTATGTGCCATAGACACCACCGGTGCCGCGTATGAGGAAAAACGATTTTAATGGCGTTTTGCATGGCTCAATCTTGGTCCGTAATAATTCCGTCCGGGGCACATCCGTTCATACATTCAAGCCAAGCTCTGAAAAGCCACACAAACGTTTGAGTATCTTCACTCGAGATTAGGCCACAACCAAGCAAGATTGATTGACCATGGTGATTAACTCCAACAAATGGGGCAAATGGCATATCGTATCGATTTGTAAGATATGTTGTGTCAAAAGTTATGACATCGCCAAAGTCCTTGTAGGCATATCGACATCGATTGTCCGCCCAAAACACGTTCCGTAACCTTGACTCCTCATCCAAATCAATCATGAAGAAGAAACCGGGGCATTGTGCTTGCATCCTACAAAAGAAGTCTTGAATTGCCATTGCGTCACCATTTCCTAATCTTAGTTGTCGCATCTTATCTATGTAGTTCCTACAATTCTTTTCAATAAAGGGAAGTTCTTCATATCCACCGGCTTCCACAACGGCGGAGTTGAAACTCTTATAAATCGGTATTCCCGCAACATCATTAATGTCAAGGTTTCTCACCATGTACGGTGTCAACTTTCTATTACACCAGAATAGTCTTGTCTTCGTAGGACTCATATCATGATTATGATCTAAACATAACTTTGAAATTACCCATCCTCCAG